GTCGTGTGCGGGTGTGTGCGCGGGGGCGGCCAGGGGGGGGGGGGGGGGGGGGGGGGCCACGCTGGCCCTCTTGCAAGTGATGCCCCCCCCCCCTGCCGGAGCCCTCCTGCGGAGGCATACATACGTGCGCCGGCGCGTTCTGGGCCCGGGAGAGATCGTCGCCACTCCCCCCCGGTCTGCCACTGGCTGGCTTGGGGCCCGGTCCTCCCATCCCCCCATCTCTCCCTGCAACGGCTCGCAAAGATGCCAGAAGCAAGGGCAAGCGGGTGCGCAGGCGCGCTCTACCCCTCTCTGCATGGCAACCCCAGGTACCCCCCCCCCCCCCCCGATGCACAGACGGACGCGTGCGCCCATGATGCGTACATTGTTTTCGCGGCCCCCCCGCCCCCTCCTCGCCCCCGGGGGTGTGCGCCAGGGTGTCGGTTGTTGTTATCGCCGCCGCGAGGGCCTTTTTTCTTTTGACACACCTCACAGCCACCTCCGACCCCACCTGGACTCTCTCTCTTCCCCCCTCCCCTCTCCGGCACTGCTCACCTTCCGCGAAAAGTGCACCCACATAAACACGACACGCACTGACGCCGTGTCGTAAGTGGGTTATTTTCCTTTCCCCTCCCCTCCTTCTTTTTTGGTAGGTCTCGCCTCCTCGGCCGCTCGCGGTCCCGACACACCCCCCTCCCCCGCCTCCGCACTCTCCGATGGTATGATTTCCCCTGTCCCCCCCCCCCCCCCCTGCTCGCGGCCCGGTGCCAGCGCTTGCCGGGGACTGGCAACCGCGCCGGCGAATGGGGCCCACGTTCTGGGCTGTTGCGCGGCGGCAACTTGGGGGCAAGGCGGCCGGTTTCCCATGCCCGGGGCTTGTGGCTGCCGGCCCGGGGCGCGCCGTCCGCTTGTGACAGGCACGGGTCCGCCGGCGCCCCTCGCGCCCCCCCCCCCCCCCCCCCGGCTCGCGCCTTCCTTTTTCCCCCTCATTTCACTTTCATCGGCCACTGTCCCCCTCTCGCCGGCTCTCGCCGCCATCTGACGTGCATTTCTCCCTCTCCCTCTCCTTGCCGCGGCACTGTCCCGTACCACACAGACCCCGAGCTCTCCCCAGGGCCCGGGCGGCTCCGACCAGGGCACACCCGCCGCCGGTGCGGCCCCCCCGCCAGCCTCCGTCACTCCCTTCCATCTTGACGATCAGGATGACGACCCCCTTGAGGACTTCACCAGCCATCCGCAGGACGAGGCCATCCGGACTTCCTTCGAGTATGAGCCCGGGTCGGGCTTCCCTTCGGCCTCGGGTGGTGTGCACCTCGGCCAGCACCCCCACATGGGCTACATGGACGAGCACTCGGTGGGCTTCGAGTTCTCCCAGGCCACTGCCAGCGGCAATGTCACCGGGTCCCGTACTCCCGGCTATGATGCGTCTGCCGATCGCCACATGCTCGACCCTGAGGTATCCCTCCTCCCTCCCTCTCTCCCGCCATCTCTCCCGCCATCTCTCCCGCCATCTCTCTCTCTCTCTCCCTCTCTCTCTTCCCCTCCCTCTGACACATGTCGCCATAGACACGAGGCCGGTCGTCTGGCTCTTTCCGGTCTGTCCGCCGAAGTGGCCGGACCTCCGACTACTCGGCCGACGGCCGCATTGAGGTTGACCACTATGACCCGCCTGCCACCGGGGCCACTGGCCTTTCGGATGGCGAGGACGACTTCACCAGCGAGGGGGAGATCAACCCCTTTGGCACCCGTGCCTTTGCCATCTCGGCTCCTCGGCCGCGAAAGTCCTACCTCCATTCGCTGAACACCGGCGGCCGCCGGCCCTATGGCGATGCCGGCGACATGGAGAGTCAATTCCTCGAGGCGCCCTTCTACCAGGCCACCGACCATGATCTGGATCTCCCCCCGAACCAGCACCTCGGCCCGGATGGCGGATTCTACTTCCAGGAGGACACCCACGACCAGCCGCCCGGTGCCCCGGTGCCCGGCCGGCGGACCCCCACCACGCGGCATCTCATCGGCAACTTCATCTGGCTGCTGCTCTTTGGCTGGTGGCTGGCCCTGCTGCTGGTTGTCGCTGGTCTGCTCATGTGTCTGACCATCATCGGCAGCCACTACCTCCCGGTGGCCATGTCCCTGGCCGAGTATGTGGCTTGGCCCTTCAACAAGCGCTGCGTGGTCGCCCTGCCGGAGGCCGGGCGCTTCCCTCCCTCCGCCTCGGAGCATGGTCCCGGCTTCAGCCTTCTGGTGGACGAGTGCCCGATCGGGGATGGATCTTCCCAGCCGGCCAATGGCGCCGGCGCCGGCACCGCCACCGGCGCCCCCGATAACGGCCAGTTCGGCCCCGACATCTATCCCCCCCCGCCGGCCTTCTCCCTGCCAGCCACCTCCAACGACCGGCTGATCCGCTTTGTCTGGATGTTCCTGGTGACTGTGCTCCTGGCCGGGCCGACCCTCCTGGTGGCCGGGCTTTGCTGGATGTCGGTCGGGCTGATCCCCATGGCCCGGGCCCAGTGGGCCCTGCTGCGGGCTCTGTATCGCGCGCCGCTGGTGCTCCGGTCGGCGGATTCCACCAGCGCCCCCGCCGGCGCGGTCCTCGTGGTGCCGACTCACACTTCGGCCTTCACGGCTCGGCACTTCGGTGACACGGTCGACGGGGCCAACATCGTCTTTGTCAACCTCCTGCCATTGGTCCTGCTGACCCTCTTCATCGGTTACATGCTGCCGCTCTTCGGGGCCGGCAATGCCGATCCCATGTTCCTCTTCATGCTGTCCCTCTTTTCGGTCATCCCTCTGGTGTACTTCGTCGGCATGGGCGTTGCCTCGGTGTCGGCCCAGTCTAATGCCGCCATCGCGGCCGTCGTCAATGCCTCCTTCGGCTCGATCGTCGAAATCCTGCTCTACATCATTGCCCTCATGAATGAGAAGGGCTACCTGGTGCTCGGGTCCATGGTCGGCTCGCTGGTCGGCACAAACCTCTTTGTCCCCGGCATTGCCATGATTGCCGGCGGGTGGAAGCGCAAGGAGCAACGCTTCAATGTCAAGTCCTTCGGCGTGACGTCCATGCTCCTGTTGGTGTCCATTGCCTTGTGCTTCCTGCCGACGGTGTTCTACAAGATGACTGGCCCCCATGCGCTGGTGTGCTCCGGCTGCCCGCTCCGGCCCCCGGGCGGCGAACTGCCGGACATCAGTGCCAGCACCAGCACCACCCCCTCCCTCAGTGCCTCCTCCTCGCTGCCGGATCCCGATGATCTCTTCATGTGCGAGAGTTGCACCCTGGCCAACCCGCCCTTCGGCGAAGATCCCTACTTCCTGAAGGTCGTTCGTCCGATGATCCTGGTCATCACGGCCATCCTGCCCGCCACCTACATCATCGGCCTTTACTACTTCCTGCGCACGCACGCCAACCGGATTTACGCCGAGCCTGGCAGCAAGAAGTCCTCCGGCCGCCGGCGCCGGTCCTCCATCGATGCCACATCCATCGGCGCCCATACCCATCGGAAGTCCTTCGACGAGCTGTCCCTCTCGGATTCCGGATCCATCCTGTCGTTGCTCCCGCACACCGAGCCGAACGCCTCTTCCCTGGGCGCCGTTGGTGCTCCGGACGACCTGCCCGTCTCCTCGCCGTCATCCCTCACGCCATACACCCACTCCACTCAGGGCGCCTTCCCCCCGGCATCTGTGGCGGCACATTCGCCGCATCTTTCGGTCGCCGGGGCCCAGGCTCAGCAGCAGCAGCAGCAGCAGCAGCAACAGCAGCAGCAGCAGCAGCAGCAGCATGGCAGCCGCTACCACGGGACGGGTGACTTCGCCGAGGGTGCCATGCCGGCTGGTGGCAATGCCTCCGCCAGCCACCTGTCCATCAACACGGGAGGCGGGGACATGCTCCGCCAGCGGGCACACACCACCGTCGCCGCCTACGGCAGTGGCAGCATCGAGAATGTGGCTGGCCGGACTTCGATCTCCGGCGGGTCGGCCATCATCTCCCCGAGCACACATGATATCCACCTTGCGCGCATTCGCTCGCAGTCTCTCCACCGGGCGGATGCCGCTGGCATGATTCCGCCGCCGCGGCTGTCCATGACCGGTCGGACCCCGTCGATTGCCGCCCTGTCGGTGGCTGGCCGATCAACCGGCGCCGGTGCGGCGGCCGCTCAACATTCCGGCCCGGGTTGGTCGCGGCCCAAGGCTCTGGCCATCCTGCTGGTGGCCACGGTGTGCTTTGCCCTGCTGGCCGAGCTGCTGGTCGGTTCGGTGGACGCCGTGATCGCTGGTTCCGGCATCCCGGAGAAGTTCATCGGCTTCACCCTCTTCGCCATGGTCCCCTCGGCCACGGAGTATGTGAATGCCATGCTCTTTGCCTACCACGACAACATTGCCCTGGCGCTGGAGATCGCCAACCAGTATATCATCCAGGTGACTTTCCTTCAGATCCCGGCCCTGGTGATCTTCTCCTTTGTCAGCTCGGCCTTCTGGCTGACCGAGCCCATGAGCTTCGTCAACACCTTCCCTCTGATTTTCCCCTCGTGGGATGTCCTGAGTGTCCTGATCTCGCTGTTCATTCTGCTGTACGTGATCAGCGAAGGCAAGACCGACTACTTCAAGGGGTCCCTCCTGTCGATCGTCTTCATTACCCTGGTTATCTTCTACTATTTCGCCCCTTCCGAGGATGCTGTCGCCCCGATGGTCGTCGGTAGCTTCGTTTCTCGCGCACTGGTCCCCGGTGGACGTGGCTAGTCATGTCCTCCCCCTCTGCCTCCCCTCCCCCCCTCTTCGGGGGGGGGGGAGCGCCCAGTCACCATGGCCGCCGGAACTCTCCCGAATGCTGCTCGCCCTTGGCCTGATCTCATTTAGCACCCTTACCTTTGGGTGCCTGCTCCCCTCCACCGGTCCCCCTTCCTGGCCGCACGCGCATGCGCATGTATGTACATGAATGTGTGCGCGCACGCGTGCCTGAGATCGAGAGGCCGGGACAGAAAGTGAGAGGACCCATCCATTTGTAAAAACATAAATCCAACGTCCGTGTGTTCGGGGGCCTGGGGCCTTCCACCAAGCGGTTGCATGTGCGGGGGAGGAGGAGGAGGAGAAAGAAAAAAGGAAGTCCAGAGGACATCGGCGCGCGGGTCTCGGCTGTATGAGATGGGCCGCACTTGTGCGCATGCTTTCCCCATCGCGCGCGCGCGGCGATGACTGCATCGCACACGCAACTTCAGAGGCCGTGCTTGCACAGATGCACCCAAGCAGATGCATGTCGGCCGGCAGGGGATACACCATGCAGGCGCGGTGTGCCTCAGGAGTCGGCGCCCAGCTGATCGACCGCCGTCGCATCCGGGAAGGAAAGCATCGCGCCATGGCGAGTGCACGCGAGGGTGGACGCCCGGGCTGCACGACTCAACGCCGCCGTCCAGGCCTTGGCGTGGAAATCCCGCGGCCCCGAGGCAGCAGCCCCAGCAAGGGGAGCCCATGCAGTGGTATCCAGCATGTCGGCTGGAGATGGCGACCCTGCTGCCGACGTCTTGGTGTTGTCCCCCAGCAGGCCGAAGGTTGCCAATCCGTGGACCAGAAAACCGGCGAAGCAATCCCCAGCGCCGGTGGTATCGACAATTGTGGCTCCCTCGGGCACGGGAGCAGCCGGGATGGCCACCCGGCCCCGTGCCGAGCCCGCCGGGAATGAGGCCACAGCTCCGGCCGAGCCGAGGGTCAGGACAAGGGAGATGCCAGGAAGAGCAATCTGCGGCTCAAGCTGGTCCAACAGGGCGTTGGCACGGGCAAAGGCGCCCGTCGGATCGGCATTGCCGGGGGCACAATGGGGGGCCAGGGCCAGGGCGGTGCTACTCTGGGGCTGAGCGGCGGTCCGCATGGCGCTCAGACACTGCCCTGCCTCGATCTCATTCAGCAAGAGAACCGCTCCTGGCCGAAGGCACCCCATGACCGCCAGGAAGTCCGCCTGCTGGAAGGGGCTCGGGTTGTAGACCACCGCGATGCCTGGGCAGGGGGAGTGTATGTGCATGTGTGTGTATGTGTGTGTGTGTGGGGGGGGGGGGAGGAGGGTTAGTCTTCCCTCCTGCCAGTGTGTGTTGCTGTGCCGGGGCACATCTTCAGGGAGGTCGTACCTCGGTCGCCGGCGGCAGTGACGACCTCCTCATTGCAGGAGGTCTCATTCTGGAGCATCACGGCACTCGGCAGTGAGGGCAGCTTCGGAGCGGGGCACGGGTGTGGGGTTAATTCCTGCAAAGGGGGACAAGGAAAATGCAGGGGCCCACCGGAACTTACCTGCTGGAATAGCCGCGCAATGTCACAGGGCGTGATGGCTCGATTGGCCCCGGGGAAGAGGACAATCGCATTTTCCGCGGTTTCCTGGGCGATCTGGATGAAAGCTCGGCCGGTCGGCTGTCACAAGCACAGCCCGCCCATGCCCGGGAGGCGGGTTGATTTGGGTGCGTGCGTGCGTGCGTGCGTGCGTGCGTGCGTGCGTGCGTGCGTGCGTGCGTGCGTGCGTGCATGGGTGCGCAGGGATTGTCACAGGTCAGGATGGTGGTGGGCCATGAGTGCGTCAGGGTGGCAAAGAGGGGGGAGGGGGGGGGGGGGAATTTCGTGGCATCGAGCACGGACCACGGTCTGGGATGAGAGGACACTTGACACGTCCACGCCCAAAGAGCTTAGCGTGTTCCGCAAAAAGGAGCCCTCCGCGTCGGCGCCCGTCTGGCCCCAGAGTTGGGTCACCGAGCCGGCCTTCCGGGGAGCAGGGGAAGATGTCAGCAAGAGTGGAGGGGAAAAAGAAGGAAAAGAAGAAAAGTCGCTGACTTAGAGGGAGTACCCTCGCGGCGGCAGCCGCCTGATTGGCTCCTAGATCCAGTGGCGAGTTGGCAAGTCAGGGAAAGCGTGAGCGA